AGGCGCCGAGCCACAGTTCTTTTTTTTTTGAGAGACAAAGAGTCTCACTACATTGTCCTCAGTTGAGTGCCGTGGCATTACAGCTCACAGGAACCTCCAACTCTTGGGATTAAGTGATTCACATGCCTCAGCCTCCCGAGTAGCTGGGACTACAGATGCCCGCCACAATGCCTGGCTATTTTTTTGTTGCAGTGGTCAGTTTTGTTTAGCAGGCCAGGGCCAGTTTCAAACCCACCAGCCTGGTGCATGTGGCCAGCGCCCTGAGCTACAGGTGCTAAACCTGACAAATTTTTTTTGTCAGAAATTTGCCCGCTTAGGCCAGGCATGATGGCTCACATCTGTAATCCCAGCACTCTGGGAGGCCAAGGCAGAGGGATGGCTTGAGCTCAGTAGTTCAAGACCAGCCTGAGCAAGAGTGAGACTCCATCTCTACTAAAAATAGAAAAATTAGCCAGGCATAGTGGAGGGTGCCTGTAGTCCCAGCTACTCAGGAGGCTTAGGCAGGAGGATCCCTTGAGCCCAGAAGTCTGAGGTTGCTGTGAACTATGACATCACAGCACTCTACTCAGATACAGAGTGAGACTGTTTCAAACAAAGACATGTCATTTCCCCCCTTTCTCTTTTGGCCCAATTAATAGATTTGTAGCTAAACCAAAAAAAGAGCTAAGCCAGTCAAAGCGTTCTCCTGGAGGGTTCTGATAAAGATACATCACACAGAATACCACACAGAAAGAGTGAAGAATAATTTAATAGAGTATTTTAAGCACAGAGTTGACACCCTCACAAACCAGTCCCTCCCACCCCTGCAGTGAGGACAGGCACCTCTGCCCACACCCAGGGGAGACGGGTTCTTCACAGAAAGGACTATTCATGTGCAATGAAGCACGAGTTTCCTCTTTGGAGAGGGAACAACAAACAACATAGTCATCCCAATAATCACTCCAGTTTTGCAAATGTGAAGCAATCGATACTCCATTAAATGCAGGACCACTGCCTGCTAAAATAGCTGAAATATTATGCAGTGACAAAAATTCCTGCATTGACAGGCTTAATCCAGTTTTTAACAAGCAACAAGTGCTTCAGTTGTGTTCGTTGTTTTTCTCCGCTTGCGAATTACAACTCCCATTTATGACACCAGACCAAAGCAAGACACTAAGGAGAGCCTGTGCACCTGTCGGGGGAGCCGCTATCTCCTGTCCTTTTTACCAGCTTTCCTCTTCCCGGAGAACAAGTGCTTGGGCTTCATGTCGAACACGTGCCTGTCTGCCTCACCTTTCTTCCCCAGGCGGTTCATTTTCTTCTGAGCATTCTTCATCATTGTCTTGGCTTTCTTCACCATCTGGAAAGAAGAGAAATATAAAACATGTAAATGACTGAAAACCACCTCTCTGCTCTGTGCTTGTTACCAGGTGGCCAGGTGTCCTGTGCCCAGTCCGCCTGGGAGGACCCTACTCCTCACTCATGCTCAGGGCTCTCTAGCCCAGAGCTGCAGGGTCTGGTGGGTCTTCCCGTGTACAGACTGGACAAAGACTATTGTCTATAACAAGCTCTAGGCCTACACAGCCAGTGCACACCTGTGCTGATGCCCTGGCTCACAAGGTAAGACACAAGACTCAGGCCTGTGAGACTGTGTTCCTCCCATCCCACTGACAAGTGGCCAGGGCCATAAACACCAGGTTTCCAGATGGAAATGCAGGATGAAAACTCAGGCTTCCACAAAGCAGACCACTCACTTGTTTACATGCAGAGGTTTTCCTATATGTAATGTTCAAAGTGTTGAAACTGAACATTTTTATGTTTAATAAAAAGATATCTTAGCAAGAGAAATTGTGTACATCAAAAGTCTTTGCTGGGTGGCACCTGTGGCTCAAAAGAGTAAGGCAGCGGAGGTGGCAGGTTCAAACCCAGCCCTGGCCCAAAAAAAAAAAAAAGTCTTTGCCATAAAATATTACAAATGACAAAAAGTGACCTGAGACATCCATCAATTTGGGGTAAACAAAGTCCCCATGCTCGGACACGGTCCCTGGGCTGGCCCCTTGGAGGGCTTGTGGGGACCCCTGAGCGGCTAGCACCAAAGCCCAGACTGCAGGTGCCATCAGAAGACACTTCTGTCCGCTCTCCCAGAAAGGAAATCATCAGGGAACAGTCCACCAAGGGCACCAGGAGGGGCATGGACTGCACAAAGTCAGAGACTCAGCATATGGATAGGCCCTGCCATAGCAACTCCAAACACCTGCAGCATGTGCCTCAGCCCCCTTAAGTCAACACCAGAGACAATTTCTTTACAATACATGTCACAGATGCTGACCTTGACGTCCCGAAGACCAGAAACATCACGTGGAGTTCTAGAGCAGCTCCTACTCCGGGACACAGAAGAGGGTGGAATGGAGTCTTCCCGCTTTCTCTTCCGGGTGGTGCTCCGAGACCTTCTTGCCTGCACTGCGTAGTGGGCCTGGAAGGCAGAGAAAGCAAACCTGGGTGCCCGGGACCCAGCCCTGCCTCTAGGCTCAGGGACAACTGAAATCACTGTAGGCGTTTTCAGAACCATTACTGTGTATCATACAAACAGCTAAAGATCTTGAAAATACACAGGTAATCCCATGTTAGTTACTGATCAAATACTCTTAACACAGCTGCTTTATGCAACAAAGATGGTTTCAACTCCACTTAAAAATACTCAGTATCTGTAGCTTAGTGGGTAAGGCCACATACACTGGGGCTGGTGGGTCTGAACCTGGCCTGGGCCTGCCAAACAATGACAACTACAACAAAAAAATAGCCAGGTGTTGTGGCGGGCGCCTGTAGTTCCAGCTACTTGGGAGGTTGAGGCAAGAGAAGTGCTTAAGCCCAAGAGTTTGAGGTTGCTGTGAGCTATGACACCACAGCACTCTACTGAGGGTGATATAGTGAGACTCTGTCTCAAAAAAAAAAAAAAAACCCTCAGGACTCCTCACTCAGAAAGGACTATGAGAGCAGCACCACAGTTTATCTTTTAGACATGAGGAACTACCTCCCCTTACTTTTCCACCTTAGGGGTATCAATCTGAACATAAAGTGGTAACAATTAGGTAGTTCACCCACAAGGGTTAATTAGGTCAGGCAGACCACACATCTGAGGATGGGTCTGCGTCACAGCCCAGCCAAGTCCCAGCTTGGCCTCACACCTGTCATGGAACACTGACTGAGTCCTGTAACCTACTCACTCAGGTTACCTTGTGTGCAGAACCACCACTTTGAGAGGCAAGTAGGCACTGGCTGACCTAGCATTTCATAAATAATCAAATGTCAGAAGCCACAGCTGAACATTGAAACAAAGACGTGAACAAGAATGGAGTTTCAAAACACCATCCTGTACTGTACAACAAAGTCCCAGCTTGCCCTGAGGAGAAGCCAGGGCCACGCAGCTGACACGCCACATCATCGACCTGTTACTTCAAACCAGACCCCACGTCCACAAATCTCAAGAGGAACACGTAAGGTTCTCCCCCTTTTTGCTGCAGTTTCCCACAGGTCCCCAGGCCCTGGATCTCATTAACAAAGTGATGTCCAACCACACTAACCCTGGATGCCCCTGAACACTCACGTCATCTTTCCCGTCCATGTCAACACCAAGACTACGCATCTCATTCTCTAGAACTGCTCGCTGAACCTGAGAGGAAAAAAAAGATAATTGTTTTAAGCAGGATTGGTTGATGAATTACTATTTTTACGAGTTTCAAGGGAAAATATCACTTATCTATTAACAATCTTTGACAGACTTCTTTTAGAAGTTAATTTTTGGCCTGTCATGGGAGCTCACACCTGTACTCTGAGAGGACAAGGCAGGCGGATCACTTGAAGCCAGGAGTTTGTGATCAGCCTGGGCAACACAGCAAACCCTATTGCTTTAAGAAAAGAAAGAAGTGGCTTGGCGCCTGTGGCTCAAGCGGCTAAGGCACCAGCCACATACACCTAAGGTGGCGGGTTC